TAACATCTTTTTTAGTAGTGAAAGAAGAGCAGAATGTGGCGTGGGGGAGGGCTTGAGGCATATGTAGAATGAAGGAGGGGTAAAGCAGCAGGAACGACGGGGATTTGCCTAACAGAAATGTTAAAAGCGGGATATAGTGGAGGGAATGGTTGGTATTTTTGTTTATAAATTTATGAAAGAGGGGAAGGTACCTAGGGATTGGCAGAAAGCATGTATAGTCCCTTTAAATAAAGGGAAGGGGACAAAAAGAGATGTAAAAATTATAGAGGAATAAGTTTCCTGAGTCTACCAGGAAACTGAGTACAGTAGGGTTATTGAAAGAATTACAGGTAAACAGAATGTAGGATGCAGATGAGCTAGTAGGTTTTAGAGTGGGTAAGGGATTGTGTAATATCAAGGTTTACAACTGAAGCATATTGTGAACCATATTTAGATAAAGGTAGGGAAGTTTTATTGCATTTAGGATTTAGGAGCAAGTGGCAGATTTGCAAATTATAAGGAATAGGAGGTAAGTTACTAAATGTTGTAAAGAGTTTTTATGAGGATAGTGAGGCTCGGTTTAGGGTGGTGTAGAAGAGAGGGAGACTAATCCCTTAAAAGTAGGTCTAAGACAGGGATGTGTAATGTCACCATCGTTTGTGTAATACAGTGGACTCAATCCAGCGATATTAATCCGTTCCTGAGGAGCTCATCGTAATCGAATAATCATTAGTCAAGTTAATTTTCCCCATAAGAAATAAATGGAAAAACTAATTAATCCCGTGCAAGACACCCCAAAGTATTGAAAACAAAAAATTTACGCACAAGAAATATTATTTTAATACACCAAACTGAAGAATACAATGCACATTACATGACACTTACCTTTATGTGAAGATTCGTGGTGATGATTGATGAGGAATGGGATAGGAAGACTGTTGATCTTCTTAGTGGTTTAGAAGGGAAACCCTTCCATTAGCACTTGATGGTAGAAAGTCTTTTTCTGGGTTACTTCCCTTGTTCTTTTAATGCCACTAGGACCACTCCAGAGTCACTGGACTTCTGTTCGCACAATACATATCTGTCCAAGATACCTGTAACCTCTCGTTCCTTTATGACTTTTCCTAAATGGTTCACAACATTGTGTCAGTGTAGAGGTTGCCACACGGTTTGCAGTAGCTGTTGTCAGGGGATTTTCATCAAAAAAGGGGTTTGCAACTTCAAGCCGACTTTGCAACACATTTCCCTTAACTTAGAGGTAGACAACTTCATTTCTCTCTCCCCTCCTCCGAAGCAGTTTCCTCAGGTCTGGCCCTTGCTGTTCAAGATGATCTAGCAGCTCATCAGTGGGTATTCATCATTTGTCCTCCTCCAACCAGCGCTTTCCACATCCTCCCCACTAACCTCCAATCCCGAAGACTTCCACAATCCACAATGGATTCCTCAACTGGCATAGGATTTCTCAGGGTTAGCCTCAACCCTTCAAAATCCCTTTTGTTACACTTCTGGCACAGTTTTTTTTTCCAAAGCAGAGTTCAAGTCCTCTTAGTCCACTTCCCCCCAAGCCTAATACCTAAATGTTTTACACAATGGATGATGGTAAAAATGATCTTCCAAAAAACTCTCTTAGAGTCAGTTGAGTTTCTGAGGATCATACTACAAAGCACCTTTCAAACAAGCTTTGTGTATAGTTTTCCTTAAAGTTGTAATGACCTGCTGGTCCATGGGCTGCAGAGAGGATGGTATTAGGAGGCAAAAACTTCCACCTTAATGAAGCTTGCATGTCCCCTAGAAAGTCGCCTGCCAAGTCTGAAGGATGACTCAGGAGAATTGTCTAATACCAGGAGGCACTTTAAGGGCTAAGTTTCTTTTCAATTAGGTATTTTTCACATTTGGGGGGCAAATGCATTCTTATCGCAGTCATAGAAAAAGTCCCTAGTGACCCATCCTTACTGTTGCCTTCCACAGCACTCACAAATTAGCCTTGTTGACATTGTTTTCCGGAACACTCTGAGTTTTCAGAGTGATTACACCAATAAAGGCTTCATCACTTTGCAGTCACCACTAGCATTGGCACACATCAACAGAGTAACCTGTCTTTCATAGGCTTATTCCTAGGAGTTGCCTTTTCCTCCTGATATGTAGTCCTGTCATGGCATTTTCCTCCAAAACAGGCCTGTTTCGTCACAATTAAAACACTGTTCAGTTCAGTCCTTCACTGTCTATGACTCTTGATTCTGCACATATTTTTCAGCCGGCTTTTGTGGTCCTAACTGGTATGCCCTCACCATGCCTTATCACACTAGAATGCCACTATGCTTCTTATATCTCTCAAAGCCAACCTTTGCTGGCCTTAAATTCACTCACATCACTAGTTGCTGGCATTTTTTTTAATTAAATCTCATGCAACTTCCTAGCCTTTTCAACAAATGGATCGCTGAGAGATGCTATCTCCTGCTATCTGTTTTCTCGTTATATTTCCACTACCATAAGAGTCATCCCAACATCTTCTGCCCGGCGATCTCAGTTTCGAAACCATAGTTGCACCTTTGGCAAGAACAGCTTCCTTGATTGGGCCGTTTCTTGTCCACAATAGTATCGATGGTTGATTTGGGTTTATAGTACAACCTGACCAGCTCAGAACACGCACTCCACTTTCATACTACAATGACTCTTTCTTCATTCTCCATAGTAATCCACCTTTATTGATGTAAGGGTTGGGCACTAGAAGCTTTCTTGGGGGCCCATGGTGACTTATTTTGCAGGTGCAAACTCAAAGGCTGTATAAATTGAAATTTCCAGTTGTAATGTTTTGGAAGCGACCGCAGTGGCTGCTCTGTAAACACTGGCACCCACGAGACAAGTGAGGCGTGCTCAGGCCAAAGTGGACGCGTCTCGTACGGAATGAATAGCGCTGGTCGGGTTTTTAAGCGCTAGACGAGGCAAAATTTTTGTGTTAAAATGTATCGCTAGTCAGATTTATCGTTAATCGATGCCATTGCTGGTTGAGGGTCCACTGTATATTTATAGATGGGGTTGTAAAAGAAGTAAATGCTAGGGTGTTTGGGAGGGGTGGGATTAAATTATGGGGAATCAAATACAAAATGGGAATTGACACAGTTACTTTTTGCTGATGATACTGTGCTTATGGGAGATTCTAAAGAAAAATTGCAAAGGTTAGTGGATGAGTTTGGGAGTGTGTGTAAGTAGAAAGTTGAAAGTGAACATAGAAAAGAGTAATGTGATGAGGGTATCAAATGATTTAAAGAAAATTGGATATCAAATTGGGGAGGAGGAGTATGGAAGAAGTGAATGTTTTCAGATATTTGGGAGTTAACGTGTCAGCAGATGGATTTATGAAGGATGAGGTTAATCATAGAATTGATGAAGGAAAAAAAGTGAGTGGTGCATTGAGGTAAATGTGGAGACAAAAAACATTATCTATGGAGGCAAAAAAGGGAATGTATGAAAGTATAATGTATGTACCAACACTCTTATATGGGTGTGAAGCTTGGGTTGTAAAGCTGCAGCGAGGAGGTGGTTGGAGGCAGTGGAGATGTCCTGTCTAAGGGCAATTATTTTATTATTATTTTTATTATCACACTGGCTGATTCCCACCAAAGCAGGGTGGCCCAAAAAAGAAAAACTTTCACCATCATTCACTCCATCACTGTCTTGCCAGAAGGGTGCTTTACACTACAGTTTTTAAACTGCAACATTAACACCCCTCCTTCAGAGTGCAGGCACTGTACTTCCCATCTCCAGGACTCAAGTCCGGCCTGCGGTTTCCCTGAACCCCTTCATAATGTTACTTTGCTCACACTCCAACAGCACGTCAAGTATTAAAAACCATTTGTCTCCATTCACTCCTATCAAACACCCTCACGCATGCCTGCTGGAAGTCCAAGCCCTCACACACTAAAGGCAATGTGTGGTTTAAATATTATGCAGAAAATTCGGAGTGCGGAAATTCGGAGAAGGTGTGGAGTTAATAAGAGTATTAGCCAGAGGGCTGAAGAGGGGTTGTTGAGGTGGTTTGGTCATTTAGAGAGAATGGATCAAGGTTTAGAATGACATGGAGAGCGTATAAATCTGTAGGGAAGGAAGGCAGGGTAGGGGTCGTCCTCGAAAAGGTTGGAGGGAGGGGGTAAAGGAGGTTTTGTGGGTGAGGGGCTTGGACTTCCAGCACAAGGTGCGTGAGCGTGTTAGATAGGAGTGAATGGAGACGAATGGTATTTGGGACCTGACGAGGTGTTGGAGTGTGAGCAGGGTAATATTTAGTGACGGGATTCAGGAAAACCAGTTATTTTTATATAGCTGGACTTGAGTACTGGAAATGGGAAGTACAATGCCTGCACTTTAAAAGGAGGGGTTTGGGATATTGACAGTTTGGAGGGATATGTTGTTTATCTTTATATGTATATACTTCTAAACTGTTGTATTGTGAGCACCTCTGCAAAAACAGTGATTGTGTTAGTGAGGTGAAAGTGTTGAATAATGTTGAAAGTATTTTCTTTTTGGGGTTTTTCTTTCTTTTGGGTCACCCTGCCTCGGTGGGAGATGGCCAAATTGTTAACAAAAACAAAAAAAAAAAAAACTTGTCATATTTTAAACTCCATGTAGTGCCATGACCTAGTTTCTTTACTGACAGTGGCAAAGGTAGAATTAAAAAAAAAAAAAGTTTTACAAAGTTATTATCTGACATCATAATTTATTATTTATGATATTCTTTCTAGGCATTTAGATGCACTACTATTTCCATTGTTGCTTTTTTCATTTTGTACCAGCTTGTTGTAAGTGTCCAGATGAATGACAGATCAAAGTTCCCACAGTTCTGATGATGGTCCTCGAGAAGGAGTAATTTGGATATCAGTTCAACCATGCTGACAGAAAGCCTTGGAACTTGTCTCCCTAGAAATTGCAGCTGCTGGCACTGGCATGGCCCCAGGATTAACATCTATTGTAGGTGGCCGACCCAAACCATCCCCATTGTTGCATCTTCACTCATTCTTGATATAAAGAATGAATGCAAGGTAATACAGTATATTATTTTACCAAGAAAATTACTTCTTAATATAAAATGCTAATGTACACTACAGTTATTGAAGTCATGACTACATTTCAGGAAGAAATGAATTGATATACAAAAGGAGCTAAACATTCATGCCAGACAAAAGCACATAAAAAAAAAAAATTTTGGGGAAAAACCCAAAATATTTTTTTTACATATGAAAGATCCTAGTGAAAGACAATTCTAGTATTGGCCCTTTACTCAAAGGAGATACATACACAGATGACAAACAATGTAAAGAATGAAATCTTGAACGAACAGTATGAATCAGTGTTGAGTGATCCTGTTAATGCCATGAGAGTTGAAGATCCAGAAAGGTTTTTGTACATTCTCATCATCTTACAAATTATATTTCTGACAATAACACAAATCCTTCAGGTTTTGAAAGGGAGATAGACATGTTCATGCATACAGCACTTAGGACTGATTCCTAGAATGTATTTTTTATATGAAAATATAAAAGTGCCATTATCAAGAATCCTCAGTGTTCTTTGAAGAAGCTTAGATTCAAGGGAAATCCCAAAGGCCTTAAAAAGTGCAGAGATAGTTCTTCTCCCCTAAGGGAAAGCAAAGCAGTAGCAAAAACTACAGACTAGTAGCACTGACATCATGCATGTACATTACTGAAAGGGAGATGAGGTATCAAATTACTGACTTTATGAAGAAACATGAGTTACACAATTTTATTCAGTGTGGCTTAGAACAGGAAGAGCTTTCATGTTAGATTACTATGACAAATTTACAGAGGCCTTGAAAGAAAACCAAAACACTTGTAATCTACACAAATTTTGCAAAAGCATCTAACAAATGTATCCATAGAGTAATAGTCCATAAAAAAGTCAGTAGGCATAAAATGGAAGTAGGATAATGGATATTCAAATTTCTGACAAATGGATCATGAAGAGTAGTTGTCAACAAAACACTACTACCTCAGGAAAATTAAAAAGTTCAGTATCACCAAGGGACAATCCTGGCACCTTTACTCTTTTTATCCTCATATCATTGTTAACTTGTTGATAATAAGTGATACTGTATGATAGTGGTACAGTGCCTACCATACTTTAATGCCTCAGCATTCAGTGTAGTATAGCCTCTTCTCACTTAACGACGTACTCGTTTACCAGTGCCTTGGACTTACAACGAGCTCTCTGACCAGTATTTATACATAAATAATGTATATTAGTGCTGATTTCCTCTATTCTGTTTATTTCAGTATACAGTACACTACTGGATAAACATTTAAAAATATACCAGAAATGTTATAAATGGTACAGAGGTGACATTAAAACAATATCAAAGATGGTTGACACAAACTCACTACCATTATACTAGTATGCTCCTCACTTAGCAATGAATTCGTTTAACGACGTGGTCTTAGGAACAGAACTCCGTCGTTAAGTGTGGAGAGGCTGTATATAGTACTGAAATGCACAGTATAATTTCTCATAAGTTTTAATTCCTTATAGATAAATATCAGCATGGATGGAAAAGATAAAGTACATTCCGAGTTATCAGAGTATTGGGTCCCCTCAGCCACCTATGACTATGCTGACCAGCCTGTTTCCCATGTGTCAGGCTTGATCACAGGTTCAAAAAGGTATGTTTTTTATTTTAATTTGAAAAACCTTACAAAACAAAGCCCTTGTATAATACGTAATTATTACTTTGTTGCAAAACAGGCCAGAGCATATGGATTTTTTCACCCCTTCACAAACGTAAAAATTGAACAAGGAAAAGATTACCATTATTCTTTATTGGGCTGAGTTGAATTCATTTATTAAATGTTTTTTATGTATTTTATTTTTTCAACAAACCTGTCGTATCCCATCAAGGCAGGGTGACCTAATTCTTTATGTAAATTACTGATGTATAAAGAACTGCAAGCTGTAGTTGTGTGCTAAAGTAATATAATGTTAATTTTTCTCTTAAGTTATCGCCTAGAAGAACTAGCTATCACTCGAAGTGGAGACAAGGCTAACTCTTCTAATATTGGAGTGATTGCCCGTCATCCTGCATTTTACCCTTACCTGAAACAAGCTCTTACATCTCAGTCTGTGGCTGATTATTTCACTCATGTGTTTCCAGCTGATGTCAACCCTGTGGAGTGTGTTAAAAGGTATTAGTAATACAGAGTGCTGTACCATAAAAAAAAATTAGTGGGCAGTATTTTTATTATTTTGGTTGATATTTTATCTCAAATGTGGGTGTGATCTGAGTACTTGTTAAGAAACAGAATAATATTGAAGGAAATCTTCAGGATTAAAGGCTAGTTGGCTTTAGTTACTCATAAGTAAGGTATAATATTTTCTCGTACTGATTATCCTTAGCTTTGGTTATACTGTATAACAGTAGATCACCATTTGGTGGTATACTACACATTCAGTTTCTCCATTATTATTTCAAACATTAATTACTCAGTATTGTGATGGATAATTTTAACTTTTCGTTATAAATTCTTGTATTATAATCATGGGGGAGCACAAACCCATAGAATTATACAGCACCTGAGAGGGGGGGGGGTATGGAAGGCATTCATGGAACTGAAGCACAGATCCAATTCCCTAGATCAAGAGCCCCTCACCATTATTATTATTATAATCAAAAAGAAGCACTAAACACAGGGCTATACAATGCTACAGCCCCTCACCAGTGTCAAGGAACCTCCTTTGAGGGGATAAATTCTTGTAACTAAATTCAAAAAGTGAGAACTGCTTTACAAAATGTTGATTCAAATTTCATTTGATAGCCTTAGCAAGTTTAAACATGCTCATTCAGAAAGTCCCTTAATATTATAAATTGGTTGAAACGTGCAGAGAGGATTCTATATGACGATACCTCATCTAGTAAATTTTTTCCTCGAGGAAAACGTTTTAAAGTGTAGTTTCTCTTCTCATCTTTGATGCTGTCTATGTTATACCCCCTCATGGGTGCAAATCATCAAAGGTATAGAAAGAATAAAGAATTCTTTCAAATTTGAATCTATGAGAATAGCATACTGATGAACAGAATTAAATTTAAAAAAAATCCCTTATTCCTTGTGTACCTTTGATGATTTGCACACGTGAGAGGAGGTATGGCAAGGACAGCATTCTGTCTTTACTCTTTTGCCATTGTTATAAATATACTGTATACGTATGCATCTTCTTCTTTCAATGTACCAGCCATATCCCACCGAGGTGGGGTGGCCCAAAAGAAAAATGAAAGTTTCTCCTTTCAAATTTAGTAATATATACAGGAGGAGGAGTACTGCTCCTTGCTCCTGGCATTTTAGTCGCATCTTACGACACGCATGGCTTACGGAGGAAGAATTCTGTTCCACTTCCCCATGGAGATAAGAGGAAATAAACAAGAACAAGAACTAGAAAGAAAATAGAAGAAAACCCAGAGGGTATGTACATATATGCTTGTACATGTATGTGTAGGTGACCTAAGTGTAAGTAGAAGTAGCAAGATGTACCTGAAATCTTGCATGTTTATTCTTTCTTTCTTTCAACACACCGGCCGTATCCCACCGAGGCGGGGTGGCCCAAAAGGAAAAACGAAAGTTTCTCCTTTTACATTTAGTAATAATATACAGGAGAAGGGGTTACTAGCCCTTGCTCGCGGCATTTTAGTCGCCTCTTACAACACGCATGGCTTACGGAGGAAGAATTCTATTCCACTTCCCCATGGAGGTAAGAGGAAATAAACAAGAACAAAAAATAGAAAAAAAAAGGGGAAAAAACCCAAAGGGGAGTTTTTAGGTGAAAATTTTTTGGGGGGGACCTAATAAAAGTGAATAAAGAAAACCGAATTTTCCCAGTTTAAAAAAAAAAAGGGCCCAGTTTCCTCCTGGAAAACAAATTACAGGTGTTTTCACCCTTCCAATTTTTGGGTTTCTGTCCCCCTCACGAGGATGATTTTTTTTTTAAAAATTTCCCCCCCAAAAGGGGGGGTACCCAAAAAAAAAAATCCCAAAAAACTTTTTATTTTCCCCCTTTTTCCCAATCCAAAAAAACATTTTTTTGAGATGTAAAATACAAATTTAATGAAATATCAAAAAAAAATAAAAACTACCCCCTCCAACTCCAAAACCCCCCCCCCCCCCCCCAAAAATTTTTTTTAAATTAAAGGGTCTTTCGCCCTTTTAAATTTTTCCCAACCCCCCTAAAAAAACCCGCTCAATCCAACTGACCCAAACCTTCTCCCTTTCCCCCTTAAACCCTCCCCCTTCAAAACCCCTTCCCAAAAACCTCCTTTACCCCCTTTCCCCCTTTTGAAAACCCCTACCCCCTTTTCCTTCCCTTTTTTTAACTTTATTTTTTACACCTTTCCTTTCCCCCCAAACCCTCAAAACCCCCTTTGCCCTGACAACTTTTTCCCCAAACCTTTTCCTTTTCCCCTAAAATTTTCCCCAAATTTCCACCAAATTGGGGGGGGGGGGGGGGGGTTTTTTGGGGGGGGGGGGGGGGGGTTTTTTGGGGTTTTTCTATATACTTTCTACTTTCCCCTTCTTTGCCTCCATAGTAACGTTTTTTTAAATTATACCAATCCACTCGCCTTTTTTCCCCCATCAATTCTTGATTTAATCATCCTTAAAATCCCTCCGCCCACACGTCAACCCCAAATATTGAAAACATTCACTTCCTTATCCCCCTCCCCCAAATTTTATATCCCAAATTTTTTTTTATCTAAAACATTTGGAAACCCCCCTCACCTTACTTTTTCATTTCACTTCAACTTTCTACCTTTACAAAATTCCCCCAAATCATCCCCTAACCTTTGCAATTTTTTTTTTTAGAAAACCCCATAAGCACAGTATCATCAGCAAAAAGTAACTGTGTTAATTCCCCTTTGAATTTTATTCCCCATAATTTTTAAACCCCCCCCCTCCCCAACACCCTAGCATTTATTTTTTTCAAAACCCCCTTATAAAATTTAAACAACCATGGGGGACATTAAAAATCCCCGTCCCAAGACCCCTTTTTACCGGGGGGTAGTCTCCCCTCTTTACACACCCTAACCAGCCTCACTATCCCTAAAACTCTTTCAGCTTTAGAACTTACCCCCTATTTCTTATTGAACATTGCCACATTGCCCCCATCCACTCATCATTCCTTTTTTAAAACCCTAATGCAATAGAAACTTCCCCACCTTTCTAAATTGTTCACTATAGCTTCAATGAAACACTTGATCTCACATCCCCTAGCCCTGAACCCCTTGCTCATCCCCAATCCTAATTCTGTTCTTCTTAATTCTTTCAATTATAACCCCACCTACACTTTTTGTGGTATACTCAATAAACTTATTCCTCTTTTTTTTTACAATCTCTTTGTCCCCCTTTTCCCTTTTTATAAAAGGGGGCTATACATGTTTTCCCCTAAACCCTAGGTACCTTCCCCCCTTCATACATTTATTAAACAAAAAGTACCAACCCCAAAAAAATATATCCCCCCCACTTTTAAAATTTTTGTCATGATCCATCATTCCAGCTGCTTTACCCCCTTTCATTCTAGTAAAAGCCTCGCGTCCTCCCCCCCACTTACATTTGCTCCTCTTACCCCAAAATGGGATTCTCCCT